AACTCATTGCGGGCTAATTAGGAGCTCATGCGGCGGCAAAGACCAACAAAATATTGCAGGGAAAAACGGAAAAGCGATTGCTGTTGATTTTCCAGCCAAGAAAACGGAAAATCGCATGCGATAACGCAATTACTTCACATTTACCCGCCGAAAAGTATGCAGGGAACTCATTATTTGCCAAGTCCGTAAAAAGCCCGCTGATTGGTGTCTTAATTAACGATGGCACAGTGATACCTTGTTATGAAATACAATAAGTACGAAAATAAAATGGACCTCATTAATCATAGGAAGAAACCAAGGCATTGTTTTGTAAGTATTTTTTGCCTACACTAATAACTTGAATTTCTCTGAGAACAAAATTCAACAATGTTTTCTTCGCGACTTGGAAAAAATGCGGCCTCTTAACATCAAACGCCTTAACATTAACCACGCCTTGATTAAACGGTTAGAATCCATCCTAGCACTCGAGTAGCAATAATGGATATCGAGGAACTTTGGGCAAATTAAGACAAACATACTCAGAGTTCCCTCGGAATCGTATCGGCCCATAAGTCTGCTGTCTTCGTTATCCAAGATATGGGAAAGGCTGATTGCCAACAGACTAGGTGACTTTATTAAGGAGCGCCGTATCCTCCCAGATCACCAGTTTGGATTTCGACAGGGACACAGCACTGTGGAGCAGGTTCACAGACTGGTTAAGCACATTATTCAGGCGTTTGACGACTTGGAATACTGCAATGCTGTATTTATTGACATGCAGCAAGCATTTGACAGAGTCTGGCATATCGGCCTACTCTGCAAAATAAAAAAGCTGCTTCCAGCACCATACTATGGAGTCCTGAAATCTTACCTGGAAGATAGGAAGTTCATGGTCAGGGTCAGAAGCACCTACTCAACCCCTTGCTACATGAGAGCTGGAGTTCCGCAGGGCAGCGTCCTCGGCCCGCTGCTCTACTCAATATTTACCGCGGATTTGCCTTGCCCAAATATGCACCATATGGAAGCTCCCAGGAAGGCCCTACTCGCCACTTACGCTGACGATATCGCACTGTTATACAGCTCCAGTTCTTGCACTGAGGCAGCACGTGGCCTCCAAGAGTATCTCAATACTTTGGCTGCATGGTGCAAAAGATGGAACTTAAAGGTGAATCCACATAAGACCATCAATCCTTGTTTCACCTTGAAGACTCTCATTAGGCGCACACCACCCATACAATTTGATGGCGTAACCCTAGAACAACCTCTGCAGGCTAAATACCTCGGGATCACCCTTGACAAACGGTTGACCTTTGGCCCACACTTAAAAGCTGCGGCACGGAGATGCGGTCAGAGAATGCAACAACTGCGATGGTTGATCAACAGAAGAAGCACCATGACACTTAGAGCCAAAAGGGCAGTATACGCCCACTGTATAGCCCCGATCTGGCTATATGGAGTGCAGATCTGGGGTATTGCTGCAAAATCGAACTATAAACGCATTGAGGTCTTGCAAAATCGTGCAATGCGTGCCATCACCAACTGCCCATACTATGTACGTAGCTCAACCCTTCATCGGGACCTTAATCTGCATACAGTGGAAGAACAGATCTCAAGGCACACAAGCAGATACAGTGATAGGCTTAAAAGACACCACAGCATGCTAGCAAGACGCCTACTCCCTGCCAGGCCTCTAAGAAGGCTTAAAAGAAAGGGCTTTGCCAAAACAATTGGACAGCTTTAAAGACCCCCTCGACGTTTGAGACTCTGTTGTTAGTCTTCCCACGATAAGTGAGAAGTTTGGTTATATTATTTATATGTTTAATTGCAATGTTATGGTACTAGTACTGCATGTACGGATTCGTCGCTTTATAATAATAAATAAAAAAAAAAAAAAAAAAAAAAAAAAACTCAGAGTTCCCTAAAACTTGAGGCGTACTTGTGCTAACTTGGCTAACGATGCAAATGTTGTTATCAAGCAGTTTACAACATAAATACTCTAATTATTTATGTGCATAAGTAAAAGTGGGGCAACAGTCTGCAGCAAATGCAACAGCAACAATAACAATGGCACAATGCAATCAAACAATCAGAGACAAGCTCGTTGAACTGAAATGCCAATTGTGAAAATTGTAAATAAATATTTTAACAGACGACGGCAACAACAAGAAGTCGGGAACTACAATAAATCAGATCATATCGGCGGCCGACTGCTGCGGTTTCAGTTGTGGTAAATATATAGACATACATATATATAGCTATATATGCCCGATCCAGCAGAGCAGCCCTACAAGCGTGGAAGGCATGGCGCAGGAAAACTGCGAAAAGCTGAAAGAAAAATCGCAAAAAGCAAACGACACGGCGACAACGATGACAATGCTGATAATGGCGCAAGGAGAAGGTGCGGAGCAGCTGGACCATTATGCTCTCCAAAAGAATCGCCTGGAAACCGCAGAAATTTACGCTCAAGCGAACCGAGCTGAACCGAACTAAGTTGAGGTGAAGCTGTTGCTAAAAGGAAAATGACAATAACAGCTGCAATTCCAGCGGGGCGGGGGGATCGCCCTGTGTGAGAGCCTTAGTAATGACAAAAACTACTGCGAACTAACTGTCACACGGAAAAAAATTGATAACTAAATCGCAAAGTTCTCAGACATAATGCATAAATCTTCATTCATTTGAAATAATTTAATATGTATGCATATTATTCAATGCCTGATATAAACCTGCAAAATAAAGTAAGCAATAATATATTTGTGATTTTATGCTATGAAGTTTAATATTGTAAGTTTTATTTCTAAGGGATTAAGTCCTCATGTTAACCATTTAAGAAAGAACATATACATTTTTTAAATTAATTAATACCATAAACTTAAAATCAGTACTGGACCCAACTAGTTGTGTACTTAATTTTTGCTTTTAAAATAAAATACTTATACGAAGTACTCAAAAACATTATATTTATTATCACTTAAATTCATTTCAAAATGTTCTATCAGTGTAAAAAAACGAGGCATTAAGTACCGCACCGTTAAGAAGTCGTTCGAAGTTGGATAGACCAAAAAACCTGAGGCGTCACTAAGCCGCCCTGCGAGTGAGCGAGACTGCAAGAGGTGGTAATTTCTGGAGTAAACAGAGCGAATTCAGAGCTAAATCCGAAGACATTTCGAGTGAGAGGAGCAGTGAGAGCTGCGATCGTAATTGCGCTGGGCTAGAGAGTAAAAGTCTTTGAGCGAACGAGAGTCGAGTAGCGAAAGTTAGAGCCGAATCGTAGAGCAAAGATCAGTTGATCTGTCAGATCAAGAAATAGCACTCGAAAAACACAAGTCTTTGGGAGAAGTGTGTCATTAAAAAATCGATAATTTTGTGCTTTTCTCTCTTTCTCTCTCTCTCTGTCGCTCCCTCACAAGTTCAACGCACAATGCAAAAAACAGTTATTGTTGGACAATAAATCAATGGCAGCAACAGACTACAGATTCTAAGCACAAAGAAAAAAAAAAACAACGGGGAAAAACGAACAACTCTGGCAGCAAACTGGCGATCTTCGGAGATGAAGAAGGGAGAGAGAGAGAGAGAGCGTGCGCGATCTGCTGCTTTTCGAACTCGGAGCGGCGGACTTTTCGAACTCCAAGCTGTCCGGCAGCTGAAACTTTTGGTCATTCGTCAGTTAACCGTCGTGCAGCTCGATACGCGACGCGATCAGTTGGATGTACATGCGATCCAACGAAGATATATAAACACGATTCTTCTTCGCCGAAGAACGAACGTTTTGTGTGCGTGTGTGTGTTGTGCAGGTGTTAGTGCGCGGTGTGCGTGTAACGATTTGCATTTTTGGTTTTTAGCTTTTAACTCGCTTTTTTCGTTCCATTTCGCCGCGTTGCATTCGCTCGGCGATTGCATTTCTCGGTTTCTTTGCTTTTGAATCGGCTTTCGTTATTTTTGGTTGGGGCCTTAAAATAGCCTTTGCCGTAATTACTGGGCTGGCCGCAAGAAAACGTGTTTGTGTCTAAACTACAGTTACAACCAGAGCAGCAGTTGCAGCTGCATTTCACTCGCATGTGCTTGCCGAAAAGTGGAAAATATAATAAATAAGAAAGAAAAAAGAGTGCTCGATATATATGTACATAGAAGAAAAAACGTCACTCGGTGTGTGCGTTCTTCTTCTATTTGTTCGCCTGTTAACATTGTGCTCATAATTTATTTACGCAGCGATATGCAAATAGAAAGCAACAAATTTGTACAGCAAGTGGAATATTTCAACGCTTAATTTGGGCCCCAAAGAAACCACGAAGGTAAGTCAAATGCATCCTAATAAATGAGAAAATAATATAATGCCAGCAAACTATAAAGCTAATGAGGTAAATTGTGAAAACATCAGAACTGCTTAAAACTTGATTTGGTTAATATATTCATTAGTATACATTTCTCCCGCTGACAATTTGCATATCAGTCGTCTTGGGTAGCAGGTTCATAACTTCTGTTTTGGCTGGCGAAGAAAGCTTCGGTTAGATCATCGTATCTCACGTTTTCCCCCGAAAATATCGATGTTCCTACCACCCTGCGAACCCCTAAATAACACTTGTTGCACGATTGAACTTTAAACCGCATTCTTGGCCCGTCTGCTGCCTGGTTTTCTGTTTTTCTCGGCTCTCGCGGTCGGACGCATCTATCACAGATCGGTGAGTGGTGGCCAATTTTCAATGGATCGATGCTGGCTCGCTCCGTGGGAACTCTTGACTCTTGAGCCGCAGAGTTCGGGCCTGGCATTTTGCGGCACACATTTTAGCCCTGGCTAGCTGGCAAAAACAGAGCCAAAAACAGGCTTACAGAACAGGAATTTCCACTCCTACAACAAATCCGCGGACAATTGACATTTTTGTGTAATTGCCAGATTTGTTTCTGTATTTTTGGTTTCGTATTTTCGCTTTGGCTTTTTAATCGTTTATTCCTCGGGCTTACTTCTCTCATTCGAAAAATATATAAAATGCAGTCATTGTAAAACCCATTAAGTAAAGTATAAAACATTTGTGATATTGCTCTTATATATTTTTGTTTGATGTTTGTCTTAAGTATTTTTCATGTTCTTTGATTTTTAATCGTCAACAATTAAGGAAATATTTGCGTTAAACTAGTGAATTTAAAATTGCAATAGGTTAAGTCAAACTCAGACAAAGATCTCCGGTCCGAACATGTTCATCTTGGAGAACTGTCGTGTGGAGAGGGGTTTCGGTGGAGTACCTGGCGCCTTGACACTCACAACGGGGCCGGATGTGTTGGCACTAACTTTGATGTTGTTGGCGGACGAGGATCGCTTGCGTCGCATGTTCTTGAGCTGATCGCGCAGCTGCTCCTTGTAGACGAGCTCCCTCTTGCAGGCCTTCAGATCCTCCATGCTGCAGTGCTTCATGTGGCGGATGGTGCGGGACACCAGGCCATCGATTATGTGGATCTTGGTGCGGGACAGCCGCGTGGGTTCCGCATGGCGGCGGGTCAGCTCGCTCTGGTACTGGAAAAGTAGATAGCCCACGCTCGGGCGAGCTCCGCGTCGGTGGTTGACGATATTACGTTGGCTTTCCATTTCAGCTCGGTTTTCCGTTTTTTATGTAGACTCAAAGTACTGGCTGTGACAGGGCGAGCTGTGACTGCTTGGCAGCTTGAGCTGTGAATGATGTCCTGTCGTGGTTTACCAGGATTATTTATATCTGGGGCGCTTAGCTACCTGTTGACCCGCCGACTGACCTGCTGACTTGTGCGAGTCGCGTAATTACCTGAAGTGCTCCGGTAAAACCAGATATCCTTCCTCCCTATTTTGATCCCTTGCTAAGTTGACGTCTCAGGCCAAAGATTCTGAACCTCTTTCTTGCAACACGTGTGGGTGGTGCTCGGCTGGGGTGGAAATTGTTTATGGCTTGACCTTCTGCTTAAAGATACATATTTCAGTTGAGCTGGCGCTGAATAAATATGGGGATAAGGGAAAGATTAAAGCGGTGACTAAGTGTCTGAGGATTGTGTTCAATCGTTTTAAGCTTAGATTAGTTACCAACCAACACTTGCTGGTGGAAAATTTATCAATGAAGTGAATCATTTTTAAAAGCGCATGCATATTGAATGAAATTTCAGTAAAAACCCACAAAAACATTTCAAATTAAACGTAAGAGCATTGAAATTTATATTTAAGTGGCTCAAAAGTTTAAGTTGTTTCATAAACTATTAACAAACGCCAGCTATTTGACTTAAAATATAATTATTGTCCAAATATTTTTTATTGTCAAGAATACATTTATACTATCGACTTTTCGAAGTTTTTATTGCGTAAGAATTACTCACGATAGAGACGATTTTGTCAAGAAAACTCGCCTTTGAGCCCAATCCTACTGCGTCTAAATGAATTCCCTCGCAACTCTCGGCAAATGAAAATCATTTATATTTAATGAGATGCCATGAAGTGATAAATATAATCCCGAAGTGGCACTCGACCACTCTTTCTCCTTTCTTCTTTATCCCGACAACCCACTTCTGAAGGACTGCGTGTTAAATATTTATTTATGAACGAATGTCTGCGACCTTGTCTTGACCCCCTTGGCCATAAAAACGATTTACTGTGGGCTGGTTAGATGGTTTTAAAAATGCTTTTCATGTAATTGTAATTTCACTTAACGTAATTGACACGCGGCCCCCGCTTTAAAAACGCTACCAATCAAGTTAATTTTAACTTAATTACGAGCAAAGGAAAGTGAAAATTCCCTTAGCATTGTCTTGGAGCTTAACGAACGAATTCTTTTTAAGACAATTTATTGGCTTGCATTAAGGTCGAAATAATAATAATGGTAATAGCTATAACAATGACCAGTGAAAGTTGCTTGGTATTTTATGATAATTCTTCGCTGGTAAATAAATGATGATTCAATGCCCATTTGGGTGCTAAATGCAAGGGCCGCGAGCTGAGATGCGCCAATGATGATGATGGCCAGATACAGCCATCATTATGATTGTCTCGTCTCTGGCTTAATATACGATGGAATAAATGCCTCGACACGCACAGACTTGGTGCCCCACCATCAGATCGAATCCAAATCCATGTCGATGGCCAGTTCATTGAGCGCGTTGAATTGGAAGCTGTCGGCGAGCTGTCAAAAGCAGTTGGTCAAAATGCCTGCTAGTCAGGTCGGCGATGTTTCCATGGCCTTTTTAGTCAGCCCCTGGGTCACCGTTAAGACCTTAGCTCACCGATGTACCTGGCCCTACCTGCTCACCCTCACTCAAGCTACCTTGAGGGGTCATAAAACGCTGATGCTGGACATTTGCTTAATCCGGCGCGTGGTCTTTCCCAAAGTTCTTAATCCGGTTTCGAAATCCTTTTGTTTTCGCTACATTTCAGCTACTAAGTGCAATTATAAAAGGATTATGCCATCTCATGACCCAAGTACCAAAGGAACTCTCGACCCAAGCATCCACTTTCGTTATGAATTACCTGGAAGTAGTTAAGTCTGTTGCAAAAACTCTCTGGTCTTTCGGGAACTGCAGTTATGCTAATGATTTCCATTTACATACGCTTCTTCCTCTACGACACACGTGTAAATTGACGTACTTTACGTTGATGTCACTCAGGTGGCTGAGTCAGAAAACTCTGCTAGTTGCCTTACATGGAAATGGTTTTTAATTCTCAGAGTCTCTACGCTGGCGGTTCATTGAGGTTCCCCAAGAATTCTGTGGAACGCTGGAACGGTGGCCGGTGAAAGGTTTACTTTGGGTAAAATGCAATGGACAAACAACGAGATACAAGTTCTTGGGAGTTATACTAGGAATTTGTGGGTTTGCATGGGAAACGTGGTGGGAAAAGCTATTACATGTCTCACAGTGCATTCTTCGTTGTGATAAATTACCTCAAACGTCTTTTTAACACATATTACAATTATTTTACCAATTATTAAGTAACTATACAGATTTTCATGAGAATATGAAATAGGCTGAAATTTTCAAAAAAAGGGTGAAAAAACAGGACAGATTTTTTTATGAATATTTTTTATTTAGTTAACATTTAATTTAATATTTTAATTTTTTTTTTAATTTTAAATCACTTGCAAGATCACACTGGCATCCCTCTTCAACAAATGTGATCTTGCAAGTAAAGAAAATATGTATGTTTCCTAAGCAAATATTAAAAGCGGCAATAACTATGTGTTCCGACAGTAAGTTAAACATTCTTCAGGTTTAATTAAGACAATTTTTACTACTTTGTGCAAGTAACACATACACTACATACATACATGCATACATACATACATACATACATACAAACATACATACATACATACATACATACGTACATACATACATACATACATACATACATACATACATACATACATACATACATACATACATACATACATACATACATACATACATACATACATACATACATACATACAAACATACATACATACGTGCAGACATACATCCTTCATACTTACATACGTACATACGTGCATACATACATACTCCGGTGCATACACTACACATACACCACACTCACTGCTCGACGGGGAAATTAGAAGACATGCCTTGCAGTCCTCGCTAGAACCAGTTGGGAATTATAGGGCTACAAGAAAATATGATTCCTAAGTAAATATTCAAAGCGGCAATAACTTTGTGTTCCAACAGTAAGTTAAACATTCTTCAGGCTTTATTTAAGACAATTTTTACTACTCACGTTAAGGATCTCACTAATATAATTATGACAAAATAATATATTATTATTTAATTACAGCTCGAGATTAATTTAGTAGCACTTTGTATAATTATTATTTATTTAGTTAACTTTTAATTTAATTTGGTTTCCTGGCGACACACTTCATCGGACTTAACAGGCAAAAAGGTTATTTTATTTACTTGAGAACAGCACTTATGAGCACGAATTTGATAAATTTTTGCATTTATGCTGCACTTGGAGTATTTGCAAAAGCCTTTGTTTTTATCACTTTGGTCCTTTGTTAACCAATTTTTAAAACCTGGCTGGTCAAGCCAGAAATCGTGAAATTTTTGTTTATACCCTGCTTTGTATATTATTTTGTTTTTATTCTTCTTTAGGCAATTTGACAAAGTGAAATCAATATTCATAATATTACACACAATATCGATAACATTTTGCTTAAAAGAGATGCCACATAGTTTGCAACAAAAAAATGTGGAATTATACCAATTAAATTTTAAAAATTCTAACATTGTCTAAAAAGAACAGATTTCCGGATAGAAAAACTTTAAAAAGGACAGATTTCCGGGTTGGGGCTGTTTGAAATTTTTCCCGGATAGGCTAAATTGGCATCACTGATCCTTAAGCCACTTCCTCTTAATTCCGTTCCAGAATATTCCGTTGAATATTTTAGACAAGTTTGTGCGAGATGCCTTACAGTACTTCATGTATTTAATCCCGAAATCACATTTACATACCCTTTTCCTGGCATAATTTGTAATAATGTCTGGTCAACCGAGCTTAAGATCCAAAATGGGGATTAGGACGGATTAGGTTTTGAAATATTTTGGCACAAATATTTACAGGGGAGCACTTGACCTGTTTTGACCTGGCCGGTTGAGTCACAGGTAATTACCAACAGGTAACCGATTGAAGGGATATTCGATAGATATATAAGAACCGCTGTTGGGTTTCTAGAATAGCACTCTTCGACGAGAAGTCAATGTGTTACTTACACCCAGCAGATATCATCTCTAACCACAAGCCGGCGGCCATGGAGCAGGAAAAGATGCTGAAGCCCACTGTCACCTATCATCTGTTTCTGTATCGCGTCGAGCTGGCCCGTCGGAATGCCCGGCAGCTGCGGCTTTCCCGCACTAAAATCGAGATCACGGACGAGCTCATCTCCAATACGGTGCGCAATCTGAAGACGTGCAGCATGGACGACCTGAAGGCGGTCAACCGGGAGCTTCTGTTCAAGCGGAAACTGCGGAGCAACGTGTCCAAGCTGAAAAAGGAGGCCAGGCGGCAGCAGCGCCAAGAGAATCAAGACAACTCACCAAAACAGGATTAGTGTCGAATCAATCAGAGCGCTTTGATTTATTGTATATAGCCTGTGTATAAATACTTTTGATAAGACTTTTGCATTGAAAACGCTTTTGAAACTTGTTCATGTTAATGGTCTTAGGGGGAGGAAAAAACTGGTAGCTGATTCAGCTTGTAGCTTCTCGTTTGCATTGAACTATGTGTACCATACACTGCAAAAGAAACAGGCACATCTTTTAGATGGATATTAAAATAGGAAACATGTTACTTAGAAATCTACAGCTTTCCGTATGAGCTGTGCCATTCAGTCCACTCTAACACTGAACCTAGCATTTCTCAAAATTTTCTCTCCGTGTAAAAATTAACGGCAAAAACTAGCAAAGTCACAACAGATCCGCTCGAAAAAAGACCTCTGACAAGCGCTGACCCAAACCAGTTGGAAACTTTATGATCGCTGCTTTTGTTTTATCTTCTGGACGTTTTGTTTTTGCACAGCCAACTTAATTAGAAATTGCAAATGCAATTAACAAAAGGCAAACGGCCAAATGCCAATTTTTTAATAAAATTTTAATTCGATATATATAGTATACAGTACACACACATGTGAGTGGCGCTATAAAGAGATACAAAGATTGGCTGACACTGAGCGAACGCGATGGAAACCAAATAAAACTGGTTCGTTGCATAAATTAACAAAAAGGCAGCGGCAACAAAGTCAAAGAGCTGAGTTAAGTTAAGTAAAGGGGCGGGGTGGGGATGGGGATGTGGGAGCAGCAGTAAAATGAGAAGAAACAAAAAGTTAGCAACTTGCTAAAAGTCAGCGAAATAAATAAAAATCAGCCAACGTTAACAGACGTTAGCTGAAACAGTTTGCCTTTGTTGCTCTATGGTTTCCTCTCCACCGAGGTCCGAATTTCCGAGTTTCCGAGCTCTAGACAAAATTTATTTCGTGACATTGTTCAATTTATGTGAGTCCGCAGCTCCTCCGAGATGTTGTAATAAAACAAGCCCAGTTCATAGATCGCAACAGATGTCGCCGCTTCGAGTTTCTGAGCTTCGAGTTGCTGGCGCCAACTCTCGAAATAATTGCGGCGATCATTCTTGCCTTTAATCCCATAAATCATATGCAGCTCAAGATAAACTGTTGATTTTTTTATGGTCTGAAAATGCTGTTAGGACTGCATCAGCAACAAATTTAACTGCACACGTATTTCGTTACTTTTAAAACAGCAATCAAAATATTATTATTTATTATTTCTCAGCTGGTTAAGTTTTTTAGATACTTGAATGCCGCTTTACAGCACTTTGTAAGCAGTTTCCAGTCATTACAAAATATATGACAACACTTAAAGAGTGCATTTTCTTTCAAAGGCTCGTATATTAAATATAACATAAACTTATTGTATGAAGACACAGGGAATATTAACTCAGTTTTGAATTCTATTTTTGAATTATTAATAATAAGAAGGAAAATTCCCCAGAATTTTCTGGTATATTTCTTAATTCATCAAATATTCGAGTCCGAAACAAATCAAAGTTTTCATGCCTCTCACTTTTGATTAGAATTCTCTTTCTCCGCCAATCACAAATTGTTGGCTTCAATAATTCATTGTTTTTGCCGCCGTCACTGCTTTTGGCAACGATTATTGAAGGACAGACAGGCGGGCTTAGAATCACAGACAACTTGAGGTTGCTGCTGTGTTCTACTTGACAAATGGATTTCTGTGGCCTGACCCACGGCGTCAATGGCAACCGATTCGCCGCGGCATAGGAAAATCATCAAATCACGACTTTGAGCTCTTTGATTGACATGCGCAAAAAGGAGCAAAAAGCGATAGAACAAACATTAGGAGCAACAACTACGAAACGCCGCCCGATGGTTGTTCATTATTAAAGCCAGCGGCCCGAGGCTGTTGAAAAAAATAAGTCAGTAAAAATCACAAATTTCGCAATAATTCTTTGGCGTCACCGGAGTCGCCAGTCGTCTCGAGGTGACAGAGAATTAATCTAACAGTTGGCTCAAACCACCAAGGAATTATCTCACACACTCTGCTTTGCTTTATGCATAGTATAACCACATAACCAATACGCCCCGTTAGCCAGAGCGCTTATTACGCATAATTAGCATATTTAGTGTGGCTCGAAGATTGCATCCCGCCGAGTAATTACTTCGATACCCTGCCTCAGTTTCGCTCGGCTACAAGTGACACAGCATAACTTGGCACTGAGAAAAAATGTGTATTTTATTAACATTTTTAAAGGCTTGTTAATAAAATAGAATAACAGAAATTAAACAATATTTCAAGGAGTCATTTTCATATTCAATAGATTTTTGAATGGTAACATTGTTATCATTGCTTTTTCTAAGTGTGCTCATTTCAAGTTAAGCCTCATTTAGAGCCGCACTCTGTTACCATTGCCACGAACCAATTGACCAACCCACCATGCCGCCTCCGCTGTCCCTCCCCCCAACACCTCCTCACCGTCTTGACCGCTCAGTTTGTACCGTTCACTTTGTGGCCATTTCAGTCGCCAACGCCAGTCGACAATCCAACAAGCAACTAAGGCAACAATTGTCGCATTTGACATTTAGCTACAATTACTTATTTTTTCAGCCTTCTTTCGTTGCTTATATTTGGCATGACTCGCTCGCTGGCCATTTTGCATTTCCATAGCGAAACTTGTTATAATTTTAAAATATGCACACTCTTTTTACCCGCCACTTTTGTTTTCAAGGTGTTGCGGTCAATTAAATAGCGACAAAAATGTTTTTTCCTCGTTCGATGAAAAACAGCTGACAAGAGATTCGCTGGGCTATTTTTAGAAAGTCGATCATGCTTATATAAATCGGTTTTAGAGTGTTATTGTAATACATTGTTATAGACTGGTTTTCTTGCGTTCTTAAAGATAGTATACTTCAAGCTATTCAGGCATTCTGGAAAATGTATAGTTCGTTTTTAGTGGGCACAACATGCTTTTTAAATTATAAAAATCCCCAACGAATGCCTGCTTAAATTGTCCTTTCTGGTGGCATTTCCTTTGTTTGCCGCAACTCTGCTCTGGCCAAAATAGGCAGCCGATGCCCCCAGTGGTTGCATTGTGTCTCGAAGGTGTGGCCGTTGCACTTTTCCACATCCAGCGATATTCTGCGGTGGGCGTAAGCCGCTGCCCCCAAAACTGGAATCTAAATCTGTATGTCTGTGCACGGCTCCAAAAACTGACTTCTTGGGGCGGCCCCCAGTGAGCCTTTCATAACTTTTGGCATTTACAATATTTAATCATATTTCGTGAGGACCGTCGACCGTCGACCGACGTTGGGCAGAAATGTCGTTCAAGCGTAACTCATGGATACTTTGTGGGCCTGCATCTGCATCTGCATCTTTCTCTTCAGCAATTTAACCGTTTTCATTTTTTATGCATGTGCATTGCATTTGTAGCTCATTTGCATTTGCGGTTGCTGGCGTCGTCATCCTTGTGCTGGGTGTCTGCCATGCAATTTGCAGCAGAAAAAATACAAAAAATGAAATGAAGAAAATATACAAAAAATTGAACCGAACGAGTGGCGGGCGCCGAGCTTTTGGCAGCATTACATTTAATTTTATTAAAGAAAAACTTTGCATGTGTGTGGGAATTTCACAAATGACAACAGGCGCAAGTTGCTGCTGTTGCTGTTGCAGTTGCAACTGCTGTTGTCGCCACATGTTGTTGACGTGCATGTTGCGCGGTTCGCCTTTTGTTTTATGGTCGTTGTGGGTATCTGTAGCTGTATCTGTATCTGTGAACATCGATGAAGTTTTCCGTTCTCCAACGAGATTGAAATTGTAACAATTACGTTTATGTACGCATCGCAGCTTGTTTCTTGCCCTTTGCACTTTTGATGCCGGTCGGCTTTCGTTGCTCGCCCCTCTTTCTTTCTGGAATCGCAGAGGCAAGCCTTTGGGTTCCAGTTCAGCATCTTAACCTGTTCGATGTTGCATATTCATTTGAGCGCCCAAGGACATCGATGGCGAGAGTCATCATCATTGGTGAAACGGCAGTAAAGCGGATTCGTAGAAATACACTTGCATAAAATGTAGAGAAAACCATCCAAAAAATTTATTTTTACAAAATTACATCTTTAATGAACGGCAACATTTTTTAGAAGGAATTAAAATGAAAGATGTGGAGCCCACAAAAACGTTTAATGGCTGCTATTAACGCTGCACAAATCATGCAATATATACAATTTTTTTCTCTGCAGACGCAGAAGGAGAAGCCGCTCTATCGAAATACTTCTCATCATCATTTGCATATGTTACACTTTATTTATTGTTGCGGTTGTTGTGTTTTTCTTTCGGTTATTCGCGCATTGCTTTACAAAGAAAATGGCGTTATGGTAATATGGGCGGTGCGGCGGCCGGGGGGGCGTATGGGTAATGTGCAGAGGAGCAGATATAACTCATACGCAATGTTAACCTCGCTCTTTCTTGCGCGCATATTTATAGCAGTTACGTGAGACTTTGTTTATGTGACAATTGCTTTTTGTTTCACAGCTTGGTTTCTGCACACGCTCACATGTGTACTAATTTATTTGTTTCTTTTATTTTCCTGTTTTGTTTATAATTTTTTGGGACTTGTAATTTATGTTATTCGATTGTGCAAGAATTTTGCAAGCATTTGCTGCTGGCACCTCAACACTCGCTTGATGAATGAAAGCCTTTCAAGCGCTGACTGGAGTTAATTAATTGTGCACTCAAAAAAAGAAATCAGGATTCAAGGTACAATGTACATAAAATATTTATTACCATTATAAGACTTAACTAGTTGCTACGGAAACTGAAGACCTAGTTTTTAAAGAAGTTTGTAACCTTCGTTTCGAAGTTTAAGAATATCGAGCTTAATTAAGGTAATGGCTTCAAATTATACGCTGCAACTTTTCAATGCCATTAATGCTTAGTTCCTTTACCAGGAATGTTTTTGCCCTCGCACCGCCGGCTAATTGAATAAAACCCATGCCACTTTTTCCGCCCAGATCGCTTGCTACTCATTATTGGCCTACAATGGCGGGTGATGAGAAGGTGAGAAGGGGGCCTATTCAGTATCATTTTCGCATTTTGATGTCCGATTACAGG